ATCGGCATCGGCATCGGCATCGTGACCACCTGCTGCCGGCACATGGGGCAGCTCTCCTTGGCCTTGAGCCACGGCTCCACGCACCGTCCATGGAAGCGGTGCCCGCACGGCCGCGTCTCCTTCCACGCCCCTCCCGCCGCTTGGTCGTCGTCCAAGCAGATCGGGCAGCCGCGGCCGTCGGACGGCGCATCCACCGTCGCCAGCGCTCTTGCCACCGCCGCCGCCAAATCCGAGTCGCGTGGAGCAGCCGCGACGCCGACGCGTGGGATGATGCCGGCCACGTATGCCGCAGCGCCCGGCGGCCGCGGGTGCAAGAACAGCTGCCCTTCGACAGCGGGGAGCCCTTCCCTCGTGTAGTCGTCGTGGTCGTCGTCATGCGGCAGATGCAGGTAGTCCTCGCCGTGGTTGTCGTCATGCGGCAGATGCAGGAAGTCCTCGCCGTGGTCGTGGTCTTGCGGCAGATGCAGGTAGTCCTCGCCGACGTCCATGGCAAGCCACGCCATCAAGCTTGCAGTTGCTCCCGAGATCGATCGGCTCATATCTGAATGTGCGCGCGGCCATGTGTTGGTATTAATCGTCGCCATGGGAGACCGTGTCCTGGCCGGAGGAGGACTGCCATACTTGTTTCCGTTTCCGATTTCGAGATTGGTTTTGTATCGCCGACGGTTTTCTTGTTTTTTGAGAGAGAGACAAATCGGAGCTTCCATCTACGCCGACGGGGTACGGACTGATCGGCCTGTTGGGCTTTCTCTATTGGGCAGACATTCGTGTGCCCAGCACGCAGTCACTCCTAGTACAATAGTATGGAACTGATTCTCCCGTAGAAAAAAAGGATGGAACTGATTCTAAAAAAAATAGTATGAATTTCAAAACTACTATTGTGCGAAATACCAGCTACCTATTTTTACAAATTTAGGAAAATTAGTGTTTCAAACATTCAAAGGTTACAAACTTTAAAAAATATTCAAGAATTTTAAAATACTCACCAAATTTAAAACTATTCACAAAATTATTTTTGAACATAATTTAAAATATCAATATTTAAAAATCACGAATTTCCAAAATTCACCCGAATATTTTTCAAAAAATTATGAATTTAAGAAAGAAAACAGAAATTGCAAATATATTTTTTATAAAAAGTAAAAACTTGTTATAAAAACTGAAGAAAAGGAATTATTTTTTCAAATAACAAAAAACATGTTGTGAAGCCTCAATAAAAGGAAATAAAATATAAAGAAAACATAAAAAACTATTTATTGGAAGTAAAATGACCGACAGGTCGAAACTAATAGGTATAACGTGTCCTGAAGAAAATTGCAACAGAATAGAAAGAAAACTGCTAAATGCTAAACGAAGGGAAGCCAATTGGGCCAAGGCCCATAGGATATCAAGGAGTGCGGTTTGTATGAAAATACTACTCTTATTCGCTATAACCGAATAATAGGAAGTACCAACTTGCGACTAAATGTCCCTTTCAAAAAAAAACTTGCGACTAAATGTCGAGAAATCACACATCCTTTTGGCCCGTAATGGGTCGACCTATTCCTCCAGTTTTCTTACATCCTCTCACAGTCTCACCCCACCGGTTCACTAAAATTGTTCTTCCCGGATTTATTTCCTGAGTAGGTTTCTATATCTGTTTAACTTTTCAATTGATGTTTTATTAGTTTATTTTTATATTTTTCCTAGCTTTCCTCTTTTTATTTTTCCCTTTTTTATTCTATTAGAAAGCGTTCACAAAATTATAAAATTATTCATGGTTTAGTAGAATATTCATAAAAGTAGAGAGAATGGTCACAAATCTTAAAAATGTTCACTTTTCTTAAAAATATTCATAACCTTTTAATATTCACTTTAAAAATTGTCGTTATAATTAAAAATATTTCGGCTATGAGGAATTAACCGTATTGTCCTTTTGTCTTTCTCAAGCAATTTTGTCCAGTCACCCATAAGCTAGGTAGAGGGCAGCTTATTTTTGGCAGTCACCTATAAGTTCTAAAAGACATGGCCCTTAACCAGCTAAGGGGATCTATTTCATTGGATGGTATGATTTACGGTGGCAAAATTAGGGTTATTTGTTGCATTTAACTCCATACATACATGGTACTCAATTACAATACATGGACAATTATAGTAGGAAAAGGAAGGATGATCGAACACTTGCATTGCAACCCTATTTCAACGGTCATCTCCTCCATATAAAATAAAGGGCGCCTTTGTGATGGCAATACATCTTGATCGGAGCCTACTACTGATAACCACATCACATACTTTGGCCCCCCGAAAGGGCGCACAACTACGTAAAGGAAGAGAAAAGATAGTGCACCTAGTTAACACAACGATTACACAATAGCAGGTATACATATGACGTGACGAACACGCGGCCTCAAACACGCCAGCTACCTCCTCCCCTTCTTCGATCGATTATTTCACACTCCGGTTGTGCTTCTTTATTATCGGTCCAATGAACTGATCACCACCCTGCAAGCACGGCGATCCGAAGTTAAACGGAACCACCACCTACCACGGCGACCCTTCTGCCATATGTTCTTTATCTTCTTTCAACGGAATGATTGGTCTGACGTAGGTAGTTTTTGTGTATGCATCATCATTCGTATGGTGCAAGCAGCATGGGGTGAGAGAGTTTTTTGTGTATGGGATCATCATTCGTATGGTGCAAGCAGCATGGGGTGAGAGTGAAGGTGACGTTTAAACGCACCAGTCGTACACGGTTGGGCTCCTGGGCCCGACGGTCGCCTCTGCCTGGACGGCGTCGACGTTGGCCATCTTGGATTTCCGGCGGAACGCCCTCCAGCCGTCCACCCTCGGCGTGCTACCGGTGCCTGCAACATAAAGTTTCAGATAAAACATCAATTTAACGAGGGGAATTTCAGGTCAAACTGCAAATTTGTCGACATCTCTGCGTCTGCGACAGTCGTCACAGATCTGATTCTGTGGATGCTCGAGCTCGAGGAACAAGCCATGCTACAGCAAAAGGTCCATGTTTTTCTTGCCCGAACGGATCGACGCATCGCCGATCCAACAGAAACGATCACAATCGATCAGCGCTACACAGTCACTGAGTCACATACCGATCCTAATTAAACAACGGAAATCATAGGGAGGCCAAGAAACAGAGGCAGAGACCCACCTGCTGCGAACGGGGAGTCCGGCGCACTGGCCGGGGTGGACGGCACGGAGCTCGACTCGCCGGACGGGAGGGAGAGAGACGGCGGCCGGGCGATGGTGATGCTGCGGGTCACCGCCGGCGCGACGTCTGCGGCCGCCGGGCTCGAGGGCGAGAAGGAGGAGTATTTCCGGAGCTTGCTGAAGCCGTGGTCCGGCCGTGGGCCGGCGACCGTCTCGTCCCAGAGCTGGTCGAGGAGGCCCATGCGAATGGTTCCTTGTACGGCGTACCTATGCGTGTCGCCGTCGTCTTTCTTTCTTGGCTGGGAGTGGCCGGCCTTCGGGACTGCGAGTGGCCGTGGCCGTTATGTCACATCTAATCTGATGTTTACTTTGTTTGTGGTCTATTTTTTTGCTAGTTTTTTTATTTTTTATTGCTGTATTATATATTTGTGGAGCTTAAATGTGATATCTTTAAAAAATATTAGATGTGAATTAGATAAACTGTTCTTTATATAGGACTAGGCGGCATCTTGCCGACGTCGTGGAGTGCTGCGGCTCCTGTAACATGCATTCGACTGGCTGCTAATAAAAGGGCTTTGTCGACAAGTCATCCCCAGCTACCATGGTCATCAACTGTCTGTGTCCTCTCGAGCAGGGGGAGTCTACGCCTTAATGGCTGGGCTGGTTTGGTTTGCTGAGGGAAAACGAAAGGTACTGGGAATGAAACCCTGCATCCTAGTGATGTGGATTTCATTTCTTTCAGAATATGCCCGACCTTTCCACGGATGAAATGGAGGATGTGGACAATACCGAATCAGGTAGGACCCTCTTAGCCGGCCAACGTCTCATGAGGAGGATAAAAAATACGAACGATTTTCATGGCAATTTTTTTTTTGATCTTTTTTCCTTGATGGGTTGGTTCCAACACAAGGAATCTAACCATCTTACCTGCGCTTAGTTTACTTTTCACGGTAATTTAAGTTGTATGGGGATGACAATTTTTTCACACTAGCATGACAATTGTTCCGTAAAGAAGGTTTTCTTTTTTGGAAAAAACTGCCAACGTTTGATCCAGCGAGTGCGAGTGTTCGCCAGTTAGCATTACCGGTTATGTAGAATTAAGTTTCTTAGGGAACTAAACTCCTGCTAGGACTGTGGTAAGTAGGAGGAATAATCAAAGAAGAAAAAAAATCTTGAGAGGTCTGGTGTTGAATTGCAGTGATCGATGGAAAGAGAAGATTTATTAGGGAACATATAACTCGATCTGAATCTCACCTTTATTTCATTGGTCTCCAGGTAACATGAAATCTGAATATTTCAGAAATGTTGAGTGGAGGGGTAAAAAGACTTTCTGGGTGGACCTCGTGCATCTCATAAATTAATCACAAGTGCCCATTTTTTTGCTGGAGCTTTTAATCTGACAAGGAGCTCATCGAATAAAAACAAACCTGACAGATACAGTAAGTGGAGCATCCTTTTCAACTAAATTATTGCTATGTATGTCAGATGGAAACATTTGTGATTAACTTAACATCAGTGGAAAACATTTTTCACCTATATATTATTTATCAGGAATACTCGGTATTGCATGATAAATTCCGAAACCCTTTCGGTGACTCTGAAACGCTTCCGGTTCCTCTCGGAACTATTCGAATATTAACGAAACTATTTCACAAATAAATCCTCAATACTCCCGTCCTACTAACTCTCAACAGATCGTGATTACCTTAAGCTTGTGACCCTATAGGTTCAGTAAAACATAGACATGAACGAAACCCCTCCATTCAATGACCAATAACGGAACCATGGACGTCCATATCGATCCATATGTTTGTAAGAATGACATTCGAGTGAATCTTTGGTTATCATGTGATGTTTCCTTTGCTTCGCGATACTTTACAAAACCCGAGGTAAGATATATCTGTATCCTCTTGAGTCATACACATGCTCACTATATCGGTCTCCTTGTTACCGGTTTTGTTCTTCTATCTCGTTGTCATGATTCGGCATCTCCGTGACTTTGTCACCTGTGTCTAGCCAGACGATGATGGATGCCCTTTGAAGGAAATATGCCCTAGAGGCAATAATAAAGTTGTTATTTTATATTTCCTTATTCATAATAAAGGTTTATTATTCATGCTAGAATTGTATTGATCGGAAACTTAAATACATGTGTGAATACATAAACAAATATTGTGTCCCTAGTAAGCCTCTACTAAACTACCTCGTTGATCGAAGATGGTTAAGGTTTCCTAACCATACACATGTGTTGTCATTTGATAACAGGATCACATCATCAAGAGAATGATGTGATGGACAAGACCCATATGTTAGCTTAGCATAATGATCGTTTAGTTTATTGCTATTGCTTTCTTCATGTCAAATACATATACCTCATGCCTTTCCTCTTAACACTACTAGGGAAAAGCCTAGCAGCAGCGCGGGTTTTAGGCCTATCAGTAGCGCGGGGCGATGCGCTACTGATAAGGCGCTACAGCTAACGTATAGCAGTAGCATGCCTCCGCCCACGCTACTGCTAAATCGACTTAGTAGTAGCGACTTCCCGGAGGAGCGCTACTGTTAATTAGTAGTAGCGCTTCTCCCTGCCTGCGCTACTACTATTATTTCATATTTTATTTCTTTTTTATTTCATGTTGTATTCGTACACTTTTACACAAGTTTTCATACAACAGAAATTTAGAAATTGTTTTTACATCATAATGAGTTATTACATCACGGGGTGAAAGAACCGTGGACTAGTTTCAAGTGGATGGACATCCCCATTTGAAACTAATCCGCGGTTCTTTCACCCAATGATATAATAAATATCATCATCATCATATCATTAATAACTTATCATCATAATACATCATTGTCATATAACACCTCCTCAAGATCATCGTTTTCATCAATGAGACATCACATAACAAATTGGTCACTAGTCGTAATCACAAGTACTCCTCATCATCAACTCTAACACATTATATCACATAATAAACATATTGTACCTCATAGGACCTACTACATTCTCTTAGGACCTACTATATTCTCTAAGGTAAAATAGCAAAAAACAAGATAGCCCCTGACTCTTCATTATGGAGAATGGAGATTATCCTGTCTCCAATTCTTGTCTTTCGCTTAATGTTACTTCCAAGAACCTCCTTGCGAATGTCCAAACATTTTTTCCATTCTTTGTTTAGCATGTGTTCACCGGTTTTAGAAATCTGATATGCACAGGTGAGCTCCTTAGATTGACCTGGTTGTATGTTCAGAACTGCAAGGCGACCATTCTGATACATCAGATGAGGCACACAATCCATCGGGATTTTCTGTTGAAAAACATAGTAATAACTTCGTAGTTAGCAATGATGTACTAATTTTAGAAGTATGCAAAAGATGCACGGATGTCGTAATAGTAAAAAATCTTATCAGGGTATCTCCATAGAAGTTACCGTGGTTCAACACGTGCACTAGTGGCACGTATTCACCATAATTTGGAGGAGTTCGATAATATGTATTGTAATTCTCAAGATAAGTACAATAAGCAATCATATGACTTTTCTCCTTATAAGTTAATTTGGAGCCATCAGTGTAGTGGGTTTTCTCTACCATCTTTTGCACATTCTTTGAAGATTCAAAATAAGCTGTCAATGGAAATAAGCTATCAACTATTTTGAAATAAACAATATAAATTAGTTAATAACTATGTTTGAGAAACTCACATTGCGGTAGAATCGGAAGCGTATCAACAAGGACCCAAATGTCCATATTGTGTTGCTCGATGTCAGGATCACCAAGATCCATGGTGACAATCATACCCTCATAAAAACCATACATTTTGCAAAGTGCTTCCCAATTTTGACAACCAAAATGGGTTATGCTCTGAGAATTGTACAGATTTACTTCAAAATCGATATTATGATGGGTCCTTAGGTGTATTTTCTTTGTTTGAAAATTTTCATGGTCTTCAAAATCCATCCTCTCTAAGACATAGCGTCTTGCATGGCATGGGATAAGCTAGTCGAATTGTAAAAGATGAAAACTAGACGTTGAAATAGTTGAAGTCATGCTTAATTACGAAAAAAACACTTGTCGTTGTTGCGTACCGTTTCAACATCGAAGCTCTCCTCGAGCTTAATGCTGAAGCACCGATCTTCGTCTAGCTCAACGAACATGTCGCACATACCTCGATCGTCGTGGCACCAGCTGCACTCCCCCGGGAGACTGTCGTCGTTCGAGTATGACATTTCCTATGTTCATTATTCAAAGATTAAACTTGTACAATTAAATATATATACTAAAAAACCTAAATTAGATCATTATTTTTCGAGAAAATCCAGGGCACTCGATATTTCCTACATATTCTAGCACAAGTCATGCCAGAATTTACGGAAAAATCTGACATGACCTTTGCTAAAAAAAGGACATATCGAGCGCCTGAAATTCGCCGGAACGGAAATTAATCAACACTCCGGCAAAACATAGGCCACTCGGAGGTGTAAACTGAACATGAACGGCCACTTGGGCAACCACATATCCTATTTGAGCAAATATGACATGTTCAACTAGTTTTATTAATTCAACTAGTTCTTACTAAATATAAACTTACTATAAATAGAAAAAACCAGTTCTTTCTAAAAATAAAGTAGTTCAACTAGTTATATTAATTATCTTACTAAAAATACATTAGTTTTATTAATTTCAACTAGTTCAACTAGTTTATTAATTTACTTACTAAACTAGTTCAACTACAACTAAAATATTTCAACTAGTTTATTAATTTACTTACTAAAAATAAAATAGTTGCTTTAACAAAAAAAATAAACTAGTTCTATTAATTTTCATACTAAAAATAAAATAGTTGTATTAACTCAACTAGTTCAATTAAGCACTTAATATGAATAAAATAAACTAGTTTTTACTAAAAATAAACTAGTTCAACTAGTTACATTAATTTTCTTACTAATTCTATTAAACACTTACTAAAATTTAACCCTAACTATTTTGATGAACTCTAAAATTTAATCCTAACTAATTCGATGAACTCTAAAACTAATTCTATTTAATAACTACTGCCATAATTAGCATCTAATTTGATGAACCCTAACTAATTAGATGAACTCTGAAATTTAACCCTAAGAACCCTAGCTAGGCAGAGGTAGGGGAGGAGGAGGAGGAGGGCGTGCTCACCTCTGGCACCGACGGAGTTAGGGAGAGGGGCACGCGGCGTCGAGGTCGCGGTCGGGGGCGGGGGCGGTGTCGA